GAGGGGAGAAGGGAGGGAGGGGGAGAAGGGAGGGAGGAAGGGGGAGAACATAAACACACGGCTTTAGAATGCAATTTGCAGGGGGGGGGGGAGGGGACGACTGTGGAGTGTCGGATACTTTGGACTGTGTTACAGTGATACAGTGGTACAGTGACGGTGTTGTTGATGTGTTCCCAGGGGGGGGGGGGAGGGGGTAGTTAACTACACACCACCTGGCAAGGTAACTGTACACCACTTTGGGTAGTTAAAAGCACCATCAGGGCGGTTAAATTAACATGTATACAGCAAACCTCGATTCAGAGGGTTTCCCTCGTGAATCCGGATTCAGAGGGATTCCCTCGGGAATCCGGATTCAGAGTCGAGGTTGACCGGAATTTCCTCTCCCATCCACCCCACCTCCACCACCCCCAACTCCCCCCCCCTCCTTCTCACCCCCACCCATGGCAGGTGTGGTGGCTTTTAGCGAGGGTGAATATAAGAAACTTCTCTGGCTTCAGCTTTTAAAGTTGAACTATTGTTCTTGCGCAGCCAGAGACCATTGTTGGGTTGTTGCTGTTGTTCCCCCTCTCTCTTCCTTCCCCCCTTCCCCCCCCCTCCCTCTCCTTCCCATTCTCCCCTCCCACCTCCTCATCCCCTCCCCCCCCCCCCCCACCACCACCACCTCAATCCCGGAGAAAAACATTGCGTGGTTACAGTGAATTGCACTTGACCGTCATTAAGCACCTGTCCAGCTTGCTTTCCGTCAGTCATTCTTCCCGTCCGTCTTTCCGTTCCTCTGTCACAGACGGTCACAGATACAGAGAAACGGACGCAGATAGACAAAGTCACAGAGGTAGAGACAGCGAGACAGACAGACAGACAGACAGACAGACAGACAGACAGACAGACAGACAGACAGACAGACAGACAGACAGACAGACAGACACAAAGAGAAAGAGAGTAACTATACACATCACGAGAGACAGAAACGGGAAGACAGAAAAACACACAGACATACACAAGACAGATCTGTATATCCCACCCCAGAGTGTGTGTGTGTATGATACATTCTCAGACATTCTTCTGCTTACATTCTTGCCATTGCTGAGTCTTATTAAGCCCCGCCTTTCGACCATCATAGATGCGTATGTTTATGTCTGTCTCTGTCTTTCTCTCTTGCAGACGAAGAGTCACAATAACGTGGCATAAATATGTTGACCAGACCACACACTAGAAAGTGAAGGGACGACGACGTTTCGGTCCGTCCTGGACCATTCTCAACTCTTTCTCTCTTGTCTGTATATATCTCTCTCTCTGTCCCGTCTATAAGGTGGCTTGGACACTTTAGTGATGAGGCAGAGGGAAATAGAACATCATAAATATTATAGGCAGAGTATTATAGTTAGAATTTGTTTTAAAAGAGGTTCAGACCTTAGCGACTACTCTTTTACATTATAGTAAGAGAAAAAATACAGCAACGAAAAACAAAAAACACAAAAATAATCCAGATAATAAGAGATTGAAATAGTCGTCGTGTGGGGGTCTCATTGTCACCATATCAGATGGCACTCGCTTCATTTATGCTAACCCTGATTTAACCATGATGGACCTATTTCAAAGCAATTATTGTTATTCTCTTCCCTCGTCTCTCTTTCCTTATCCCTCTACTTTCTTCCCCCCCCCCTCTCCACCTTTCTACTTTCTCTCCTCTAGCATACCTTTTCCTCCTCAGTATTCCCTGTCTCCCCTCCCTCCTTCTTTCACCTCCTCTCTCCTCCCCTTTTTTCTTCTCCAACATTCCCTCTATTATTCCATTCCCCCACCTCCTTCATCTTTCCCCCCTCTCCAGCTTTCTTCCCCTCCTCTCCCCCTGTTCGCTTCTTTCTGCTTTTTACCCCAACATCTCTCATTTCCCCGCTTCTCCCCAACCCGTTCTCCACCCCTCCCCCCGCCCAAATGAATTCACGTTCATCGTTTTTAAGTCAAGCACAAAAGCACAGGAGTAGTAAGCCCCAAGCAGTACAGCAAAACACGTGTCATATTCAGACTTCCTGTTTCTTTAAACACGGCACTTGGGCCGACCCCCGACTTGCCTACGACGCTCCCATATCCCACATGTTTCATGTGTGAAAGTTGGGTGAGGCTAGCCGCGAGCGTCTGGCCTCTTACCTTGGAGGGACAGATAGACATGTATCATATTTTTATAGATATAGATCTACCCAGAAGCAGGCATGAGCTAATAATACCGTCATCGTGTGAGCGCGAAATTCTGCTTTATTTGTTCAACGTTGATTGAGTAAAAATACTGATGTAATTAGTGTGATGCAATTACTGTTACGTGATTAAAGGAATGTCATTACAACGTGTCAAAATTATTATAATTTTGTACTAATTTGTTACCCTTTTTTTCCCGAAGGTGAATAGTTGGATAAATTCATTAATAGTTTCACAAAACATAAGAATTTAAATTACCGTAGACCATGCGAGGCTGCTGCTACTTATATTCACCTCCGATTCATTGATTGATACATTCAATAACAGCTGGCTTGATTGACGAACTGATACATAAACAGAATGATTCGAATATGCCCAGATTTATTTTTTTAAGGAATTTATAGACAAACTGACATGGACAAATCCACAAGAGCCGTGACGAGGATTCGAACCTGCTTCCGAGAGCATCCCAGACGCTGGCTTAATCGACTGAGCTACGACATGGTCAAAAGGAGTTGAAACCGAAGTGCTACTGAACTTACTGGATCCTGCAGCCTCTCCGAGGCACAAACCAGGGGCCAGATTCACGAAAGCACTTACGCAAGCACTTACGAATCTGAACATCTTTCCTCAATCTTTGGCGGCTTTGTTTACAATCGTTAAACAGTTAATGAGCTCCGAAGCACCAGGAGGCTGTTTATAACAATAACAACAGTTGATTGGGAAGTTTTTATACTTGTAAACTGTTTAATAAATGTAACCAAAGCCGTCAAAGATTGAGGAAAGATGTACACGTTCGTAACTGCTTGCGTAAGTGCTTTCGTGAATCTGGCCCCAGGTGTTACGAACCCGACTCCATCGTCGGAGCATGGAGCAGCGACGTCAACGCCATCTGTGAGTCTGCTCCCTAAACCCCCACAAAATGGACGACGCCATCTGGTGGTGGCAGTATGATACCTGCAAGAGCCTCTAGATTCCTGCCTTGGTCAACCCGAAGAGTCACTGTAGCTGACCTCTGGTGAGGTGGCGCCTAGAAATCAGCGCCATCTGTTGTGATATGAGTTGTATATCAATGTTAGAGTCCGTAAGTGGTATGTCCTAGTTTCACAACAACCGGCCAGCTCGAGTGCATGGGGGAAGTTGTGTAATACCCTGGTTTGTGTCTCGGAGAGGCTGCAGGATCCAGTAAAATTCAGTAGAACTTCGGTTTCAACTCCTTTTGACAATTCCTGGAAAGAGGAATTATTCTTCGTCAGGCTTCTAGGAACAAGATTACCGCTTCTAGGGATAAGGTTAATCGGATTATACCTTCCTTGAGAGGCGGGGTGAAATGGTTGAGGTAGATGGCTGACTGGAGGCAGTCTGATTGTGGGAGTTGAACTGAGAAGTCCTCTGGATCTCCGTTTGTGGCAGCAGCGAAGTGTAGCAGACAGCTATGCGAGAACCTGATGTGATCTTAGTGACCACGTTAAGTCTGCAGTATGTGAGTATTGAATGAAAGACTAACCGGGTGTGGAGCGTTGTAGTAATCATTCCGTATTCGGGACTTAGGCGGAAGTTACGAGTGTGTGTGGTGACCGCGGAGGTCAAGTGGTCTATAGGTATTGGAAGTGTATTGACCTAATAGAGTATGTTAATATGTTATTATTTGTCAGAGTCTATTCGTTGTAATTAAATGACAAAACCCGACGGCCTTTAAATACCTTCCATATGTTCATTCATTGTGTTCCAGTACAAACCTAGTGGTACGCCTCAAGGGTCTGGTGTGTGTAGGAGTATAGGTGGTAGTAACGGTTGCTGAGGCAAGGTGTTATGTCTTGTGTAATCGCTGTGTTCGGAATGAACCGGGGTTCAGCGTCACAACATATTTGGTGAGGTGTAAAAACCACACGCTGAGCAAGAGAATGGTGTAAGGAAGTACGTAGCTATACATGCTTTACACACAGAAATCACAATAGCGTGATGCATCAAAAAACAAATCCATCAAAGAACAGGTTCGAATCCTCGTCACGGCCCTTGTGGATTTATTCAGTTATACCTGCTACTTTCATCAACCCTCCCTGGAACCCCACAACGGTGTTTTGATGACAGTGGAACCCTTCATCAACATCATATATCAATTGCAAATCCACAGTATTGTGAGAAATAATATTTTCAATCATCGGATCCTCGGGGGATTGAACTAGAGCCTGCAAAACACGATACCGTTTTTGCTGCTCCCAGGTTCTATCTCGGTTTTTGTAAGCCACATGGCTTGCTTGCCCTCCCTATGCTCGTCCAGGCTGTGACCGAACCAAACAAAAAAGTGCATTCAGCAATTTGAACCTTCTGTACTCACCTAATTGTGCTTGCGGGGGTTGAGCTCTGGCTCTTTGGTCCTGTGAGTGAGGTTTGGTTCGAGAAAGGTTCGAACCTCACAGGTGTGTACAGTGTGTTCCTCCTCATCAGGAGGCGGGAGGCAACAGGATTGACGACCATCTGAAACACTGTTTATGAAGGCGGGCTGCCTGCTTGATGGATCAACAGCTTCGTGGATCACAAATTCGAGTTCAATTTACTCGAAGATTCATTGGAGTGGTTCTATGACGCGGATACTGTGAGAAGGGGAGGGCAAGACAATACATGGAGGGGTAGATAGTGGAGGTGACTGACTCCAGACGTGGATTAAGAAGTCCTGGACGCCATACATGGAGTGAGAGGTAGTGAAGGCTGACTCCATGCATGGAGTGAGAGATAATGGAGGATAGCAGCTCCTATACATGCAATTACCATTAGATTCTAATCTTTGTTCACCTTCAGTAAGCAGCATGGTGTGTGAGAACCAATCAGAGCAAGTCATTCTTGCGAAGAACCAACCAGAGAAAGTCATTCTTGGGAAGAACCAACCAGAGCAAGTCATTCTTGCGAAGAACCAACCAGAGAAAGTCATTCTTGGGAAGAACCAACCAGAGCAAGTCATTCTTGCGAAGAACCAACCAGAGAAAGTCATTCTTGGGAAGAACCAACCAGAGCAAGTCATTCTTGGGAAGAACCAACCAGAGCAAGTCATTCTTGCGAAGAACCAACCAGAGCAAGTCATTCTTGGGAAGAGCCAACCAGAGCAAGTCATTCTTGGGAAGAACCAACCAGAGCAAGTCATTCTTGGGAAGAACCAACCAGAGCAAGTCATTCTTGCGAAGAACCAACCAGAGAAAGTCATTCTTGGGAAGACCCAACCAGAGCAAGTCATTCTTGGGAAGCACCAATGAGGACAATGGCCAGACACCTAGCGTCATTGTAGCCAGAGGGTCAATCGGCTCACGCCATTGGATCTGACCAAACATCATACATCACTAGCAGCCAATCAGCACACAGCATTAGGAGCTTCACGTCAGTAGCGACAAGTAATCACTCCCCACCCTCCCTCTCCCCCCCACCCCCACCAGTCTCAATAACAACATCTATTAATGCACTTCATGATGGCCAATCACCAATCACCAATCACAGCACATCACTGCGGGGGTAAAAACCACCCAATTATCTCACGTCATGGAAGGGGCAAGGACCAATCAGCGTCCATCATTCCGCCCAATATGCCTGGTCGCTCCTTCAAATGGAAATAACTCAGACGTTCCAAACTGCTTCGTAAGGTCTTTTTTCTAATAATATTTGACCACACTCAACATTTTCCTCAGCATTTTTGCCATTGATTCAAGTCTCTTATCGTATATTTTCTAAGTTTTAAGTTAGCGAAGTTAAGTGTTGTTTAAAGTTATCCAAGTTACATATTTTAACAATCGCATAAGTTTGCAATTTCTTGGTAATTATGTGGTGTGGATTGAGTGTATTACTTCCTAAAGTTCCTTATGTTGTGGAAAGTTGCATTTGTGTCTTCAGTGTTGAAAGACGCAATGCACTTTAGGTGTTAACTTTTGTAGGGCAATGTAACTTACCTGGGAAGTGTTGGGTGTTGGTCACTTTTAGCTTTTAAGTGTTATAGGAGGTTTTTCAGGGGTAGGGTGGGGGGGGAGGGGCATCATGCACGGGTTACTAACACTGCTTCTGTAGTCATTGTCTCTGCAGACAGTCATTGTCTCTGCAGACAGTCATTGTCTCTGCAGACAGTCATTGTCTCTGCAGACAGCCATTGTCTCTGCAGACAGTCATTGTCTCTGCAGACAGTCATTGTCTCTGCAGACAGTCATTGTCTCTGCAGGCAGTCATTGTCTCTGCAGACAGCCATTGTCTCTACAAGCAGACACTGTCTCTACAAGCAGACACTGTCTCAACAACCACTAAACAAGAGTACTTTAGAAAATATGAGTCACTGCTATTGACAGTGCCAAGCACGTGTTGTCACTGTGTAAAGTGGACTTATTACCAGTGCTAATGTGTCTTCACCTAGTTGTATTCACCTAGTTATGCCTGCGGGGGTTGAGCTTTGCTCTTTCGGCCCGCCTCTCAACTGTCAATCAACGGTTTCTACTACTACTACTATTTTTTTTCACACCACACACACACACACACACCAGGAAGCAGCCCGTGACAGCTGACTAACTCCCAGGTACCTGTTTACTGCTAGGTGACAGGTGGCATCAGGGTGAAAGAAACTCAACCCATTTTTGTTTTCGCCGGCGCCGGGAATCGAACCCCGGACCACAAGATCACGTGCCTAGCGTGCTGTCCGCTCGGCCACCGGATCCCATGACATGTGTGTGTGTGTGTGTGTGTGTGTGTGTGTGTGTGTGTGTGTGTGTGTGTGTGTACTCACCTAGATGTACTCGCCTTGTTGTGCTTGCGGGGGTTGAGCTTTGACTCTTTGGTCCCGCCTCTCAACTGACAGTCAACAGGTTCTGAAGCCTATTGGGCTCTATCATATCTACATTTGAAACTGTGTAGGGAGTCTGCCTCCACTACGTCACTGCCTAATGCATTCCATTTACACACTATTCTGACACTGAAAACAATTTTGCTTAATGTTTCGGTGGTTCATTTGGGTACTAAGTTTCCACCTGTGTTCCCCACTTGGACTGGAGGATAGAACGACGGTCTCGCGTCATGCAGGTCGGCGTTCAATCCCCGATCGTCCAAGTGATTGGGTTCACTCTCTCCACCATTCCTTATGTCCCGTCCCAAATCGCTCATACTTCTCAGTACTGGGACTAGTCTTGTGGCATACCTCTGAATCTTCTTAACTTTGTCTTGTGTTTAACTAGGTATGGACTCCAGGCTGGAGCTGCATACTCCAGGATTGGTCTGACATAAGTGGTATACAGGGTCCTGATCGATTCCTTACACAAGTTTCTAAAGGCAGTTTTTATGTTGGCCAACCTAGCATATGCCGCTGATGATATCCTTTTGATATGGGGAAAGGTTCGGTGTGATACCAACCCCCAGATCTTTCTCTCTCTTTGATTCTTGCAGGAAGTTCACCTCCCAGATGGTACCTTGTGTTCAGCCTCCTGCTCCCTTCGCCTAATTTCATTACCTTACACTTTCCTGAGTTGAACTTTAGCAGCCATTTTCTAGACCATTCCTCCAGTTTGTCCAGGTCATCCTGTAGTCTCTGTCTATCTTCATCTGTCTTAATTCTTCTCAGAGTTAAAGCGCAACCCCCGCAAGCACAAATAGGTGAGTACACACACACACACACACACACACACACACACACACACACACACACACACACACACACACACACACACACACACACACACACACACACACACACACACACACACACACACACACACACACACACACACACACACCGTGATGAACAAGGTGTGTGTGTGTGACTGCTGTAGTTCATCCTGCAGCTTAACTACTCTGCTCTAAAACATCCTGAGGCTTAACTCTGCCTCACCAGAATCCTCACCTCACCACTCACTCTACCACTGCTGTGGTCCAAGCTCTCTCTCTCTCTCTCTCTCTCTCTCTCTCTCTCTCTCTCTCTCTCTCTCTCTCTCTCTCTCTCTCTCTCTCTCTCTCTCACTCTCTCACGCCAACACAAGAGCCTGTCACCCGGGGAAAGACAGTCAACCGTTCACTACTCCACACTCCATAACTTGATCTACTCCTGGGGCGCTGTCCCCGCCAGCCGTACCTTAGTTAACATGTTCGAACCTCCACCACTACCACCAGCTTCGCTTGACAGCATCAGATGAATGAGATGAGTAAACTGTATTTACTAAGGTTTACTTAATATAGACTATTAGATGGGCTACCCGGCTGTACCCGGGTCTCTCCCACAACCCCTCCCTCTCTCTCTTCTCATCTCTCAATATTCCTCCCCTCCCCTGTCTTACCTCTCCCTTCTTTCTCCCTCTCTCTCCCTCATTCTCTACATCCCTCCCTCTCTCTTCTCACCCCCACTCGACACCGACTAGCCTATGACACTCCCATACCCCCCATGTGCAATCATTAAAAGTTTGAAGAGATTATTGCCCCAAGTGTCTGGGCTCCTATTTTGGACAGGGACAGACATTATATTTTATAGTAAGAACGATATTTGGGAATATTTATACTCGGGTCACAACGAGGTTTCCAGTGAATATGTTTTTCTGCCTTGTATGTTGTTCAGTGCAATTCAGTTTCAATTTCCTTCTTTATTATGCACCCCATACCCATCCCGTGGGCGGTGGTGTGAAGGGTTACAGAGGCACATAATTGGTTCAGGAACTGAACCCTTTAGTTCGTTTATCTAAGCAAATAACAATCTTTTCACGCTAGTTACACAATTATTAATGTTATATATACATGTACACATACTTATACATACATGTACATACGTATACATGTACACATATATATATATATATATATATATATATATATATATATATATATATATATATATATATATATATATATATATATATAAACATTCATGCAAACAAGCCTGAATGGTCCCCAGGACTATATACAACTGAAAACTCACGCCCCAGAAGTGACTCGAACCCATACTGCCAGGAGCAACGCAACTGGTATGTACAGGGACGCCTTAATCCGCTTGACCATCACGACCGGACAAAAGGAAGTGATAGCCTAAGCTATTTGAACCACTTAACCGCCGGCACTCGGATAGTAATCTTGGGCATAGCATTTTATCAAATCACCTCATTCTTTGGGGCAACACGTGAGGAACACAATTCAGGCTGTGTTTTTGTGTTCCTCACGTGTTGCCCCAAAGAATGAGGTGATTTGATAAAATGCTATGCCCACGATTACTATCCGAGTGCCGGCGGGGAAGTGGTTCAAATAGCTTAGGCTATCACTTCCTTTTGTCCGGTCGTGATGGTCAAGCGGATTAAGGCGTCCCTGTACATACCAGTTGCGTTGCTCCTGGCAGTATGGGTTCGAGTTTTCTGGGGTGTGAGTTTTCAGTTATACAGTTTTATATATGAGATATATATACGCATATATATACAGTTATATATATCATATATATATATATATATATATATATATATATATATATATATATATATATATATATATATATATATATATATATATATATATATATACAATCACCTACACAAATATTGTACACACATCAGTAATTTTTTGTATCACAGGTGATCAACAAGAGGCTCACAACAGTCACTATACAAGGCACTTTACATCTATGGTGAGTCACACAGTTACTAGTCTTGCTCCACACCCACGCAACTGGGCGGCAGCTTTACAGTCATGTGCTCCACACCCACCCAACTGGGCGGCAGCTTTACAGTCATGTGCATGCATTACTTACAGTAAGCAAATTTTGGATACTTGGCTAAGATTTCGGGCAGTACATCATTATGAATGAAGTACTTACACATTTCTTGGACACCATTGATGGTGTTATCTCTAAATTCCTCGATTTTTTCACATTCCATTATATAATGACGCAAAGTATGCGAATAGTGCTGCTGACATTTGACATTTAGTCAGATCAACATCAGCAGATGTTACAAACACCCAGAGGTACTTGTAGCCGAGCCTAAGCCTAGCAGTGGTAACATCTAGAAGTCTGCTAACATTATTGGATGACCCATAGACGTGCGGTACTTCCTGTATAATAGAATGATGATAGATGAACTATGAGTGAATATTTTGTTCAGCGCTATGAGTGAATATGTTGTTCAGCGCTGAGTGAATATGTTGTTTAGTACAATGAGTGAATATGTTGTTCAGTACAATGAGTGAATATGTTGTTCAGCGCTATGAGTGTATATGTTGTTCAGCATTATGAGTGATAGATAACTGGGCATATTCTGTAATA